AGAGAGAGAGAGAGAGAGAGAGAGAGAGAGAGAGAGAGAGAGAGAGAGAGAGAGAGAGAGAGAGAGAGAGAGAGAGAAACTGACCTGAAAGCTGGCTCGTTTCCCCACTGGATTCGCGACACCTGAGCTGAAGGCTGGCTCCCCGATGGCAGAAGACGAAAGCAACCTGGTCTGCAGGAGAAAGATGGCAATGGCGGCAGCTGCTCCAACGTTGGCAACGGCGGCAACAGCTCCAAGAACGCGCGTGACAGCAGCTTCGACGGGTGGCAGCTTGGAGGAGGCAGCGGCTTCAAGCAGGCGGGCGGGAGGGGCAAGTTCAAGCCCTCATTTGAAGTTGTGCCACCTGTGCCAGCACAGAAGAAGGGTTCCCCTGCTCGTGTCTGGCAGTGTCTGCAAGGCCGAAATGCGCCTCAAAAAACCACGCTGTATTTTTAACGGCCTCCTAGGGCCCCAACCTACAACTAGGCCCCACCGATAATTTTTTAAACATCCTTCGTAGGGGGGGCAAACCGGCCCCCCCAAACCGGACACCCAACACACACTACCGGCTCCAGACTGTCTGGATGGGGCTCCGGACTTCCGGTCGGTTGCCATGTAATGAACCCAGATCGTGAAGACACTTGTCAACAATGCAAGCCCAGATGAATATCAACCTGCTGATGATTATCAATAATAATAACCGTGTCCAGATAGAATGAGATGGAAAAACATACACAGACGAAGGAGAGAGGAGGGAGATTAGACTTAGAAGAAGAATAAAAGACATGCCCACTTCTGCTTCGGGCTCCCTCCTCGATCACCACCTCAGTAATAAATAATCTGAACGCGCATCTGAAGTTCTATCACAATGTGCCACGTGGCACGTCAATCAGTCCTCATCAGCGAGCTGGAGCAATGTCGACGTCAAGATAACTAGGTACGTATCCACTATCGCCCCACAGTCATGATCTCGTCCCGAATGTCGTTGGAACAGAACAGCAATGCCAGTCTCGTAGCCTCGCCATGTCAACAATAATAATATACGTGGCAGTGGCCACGTCAGCGGCGGCGCGTGGCAGCTGCCACGTCAGCATGCCCAGAAGACAATTGCAAGCCAGCCACCATGCTGAGCCAGCAGAGCGTCACCGTAGTTCACCCAGTTGCCAGCGTAGAGCCAGCGTCCAGCCAGAGTCGCAGCGTCGAGCTAGCGTCGTCGTCAACGCGTGAAGTCAGCATTTGACGCAAGACAGAATGTACCTCGAAGCCAGGAGGTCAACACTTCTGTAGCGTTGACGCGGGGTCTGGACCCCAGGTGCTGCATCCCTTAGCCGTCGAGATCTCAAGGCAAATGACGGCCCAGATTTGCCTGAAAACCGAATTCCCTGTGGCCTTGATGCTGTCTGGGTACCTGCGCACAACAAGTGAGTGTATCCGACCAAGGGACTGGGCGCGGTACCTTTGACCTGACAGCTGACTTATACCCTTGACTTTCCAGGGGGACCAGTGCGTGGTCGCACTGCCTGGCGCAGGCCGTGTTTGGCCTGTGTCGTCTAGGCGCAGTTTTGGTCCCCCAGACTGCTGTGGAACACGGGTTACTGCAGCCATGAAGATAAGAGTAATAGAAGATGACGAACTAACCATCTTCCTTCCCCAAACTGCTCGAGAGAATCTGGCAGTAGACCCGGCGGAATGGGCTTGGAACCTGAAGCAGGGGGCAACAGGAGTCAACTCCAAATTCAACATACTATTCTACACAACCAGACCAGGCAACAGAGTAAGACAACGCTCTACAAACCCAGACCCAGTAATAGCAGAACGTTGGAAGAAGCACCTAGATGTAGACCCGGAAGCTTTCAACCCAATTCCATGGAATCATATAGAATCCACGCACCCGCCAAAATTCAGGAGCTTACAATGGCTAATCGGAATCCTATGCCCAACAGTCACTTTAAGCCAATGGCTAAACGTTAGAAGGAAAAGGGAGGATAGAGACCCTCTAAAAGAACGATGCGCTAGTTGCGACGAAGGTCAAATAGAAAACCTATACCGTTGTTTCCTCGAAAATTCCTCCTATGCCCCAGAGTAAAACCCCTATGGCAAAAGGCAGCAACTACATGGATTGTGGTATGTAAAACCACGATTTCGAAAACTTGAAGTCCAAAGATCCAATATTAAATTCCCCCTAGGCGGGAGTTGTCTCTACCTACCGGCAGAGGGGAAGGAGCCTAAATCGACGGACTTGGGCAACAGTAGAGGAAACAAAGCATGCCATAAAAGCACATTCATAGGGCACAGTCAGAATCTCCGGAACCACCCAATTAGTCCCATCCATTATACCAAACAGTCGTCAAGAAACCTTAGCTCTTCGGTGGATTCATAAGGATAAATAAGCTCAAATTAGTTAAACGCAAGTCAACTTTGGAGACTTCCATTACTCCACAGGCCGGAAATCAGTAATAGGCACGGCCACACCCTCCTGCTACTAGGCTTCAACATCTCGGTAGATTGGACCCCAGTAGAGTCCAGCCTCTTCAAAATCCTCGGAATAGCAATTCTGTGGGTTCTGTAAAAAAAAAAAAAAAAAAAAACACTCTCAGCAAAGTCTAAAGCTGAAACCGAGTGACATTTCAAAATTGCTAAAAATTAAACAACCAAATACCCACTCTCAGCAAAGTCCTTTTCTTTTGTTTTATTTCTCGGAACAGGTCTATGAATAACGTTCATCACTTGGTCACTCTCAGCAAAGTCAAATGGTTCCTAATATATGTATATGCCATTTGTGGATGTCTGAGTTGGCAGGTGGAAGCAGAGCTTGCAGAGCTTGATGCAGCAGAAAGAAAAGAGTATCTGGAGTCTTTAGGTGTTTCAGAAGGGGGCCTTGGGTCATTAGTGAGAGCAACTTATGCATTGCTGGGACTCAGGACATACTTCACATGTGGTGAAAAGGCATGCACTCTATCCTTGAGCTTTTTGTTTGCTAAGAAATGCCCCAGTTATTGTTTGGTTTCCAAAGAATGAGACAAACACACACACACACACATCCACAAATCAGAAAAAGAAAACAGAAGAGAGGAAAAGAAAAAGAAGGGAAAAAGAAAAAGAAGGGAAAAAGAAGAAGGAAAAGGAAAAAAGAGGAAAAGGCATATACTCTATCCTTGAGCTTTGTGTTTGATATCAAATGCCCACTTGTTGTTTGGCTTCCAAAGGATGAGACAAACATGCATTTAGACATACACACACGCACACACACATTATCTGTAACCTCTTGTCTTTCCTCTTTGTGCATGCTCTGGCCTTTATCTTGTTCTCCTGTGTTGAAGTACAGAACCTTTAAGATGTGCTAAATAGTCAGTGCCTGTTTAAGTCTTTGCAACACTATCACGGGGGATGCTGTGTCCTGTGTGCCTTTGTCTCTCTGTTCCCTGCTGTTGCCAGACATTTGTCTTGTAGCTCCCTGGATCTTGATGGTGGCATGCACCTAGCGTATGTAGTACTTGGTGTGAGTAGGTGATGCTCTCCTTCGGTCTGTGCTGTATGTGAACAGCCTTTGTTGGTGCTGCCCTACTGTCTGGCTGCGCATCTTCATGTCTTGCATTGCTTTGCTGTTCACCCCACTTACGTTGTGTTACCTTGCTACCCTCCTGTTGGCCTGCCCAGTTGCCTACCTTGTCCTGCCACTGGTCTGGCCATGTGCTTGCCTTTCTGGTACCTGCTTGTTTGCCTTGCTGTGCAATTTGCTGCCTCTGCCTACTAGCTTGATTGTTTGCCTGGCGGCTACATGACTTGCTACTCTGATTCCTGTCTTTTTGGCCCCTGGCTGTGCTCTGCTTTAGTGGTGCCCATCTGCTTGCCTTGTGTTGTCTTGCTCTGCTTGTGTGCCTGACTTAACCTGCCATGCCACTCTTCTTCTTGGTTTTGCTGCTCACCTTCCGTCCTGCCTCCCTTGCCCAGCCACACATCCGGGCACTTGCTTTCCTTTTTGATGCCTGCTTGGTTGCCTTTCTGCCTGCCCTGGTGGCTACTTTGCTACGCGCTTGGCTACCCGCTCGCTTCACTGTTCACGTGGCCGTTACTTGTCCTGTTGCTTTGCTTCCTGGCCTTTTGCCTGCCCGCCCACCCACCTTTGCCTTGCTGCTGCCCGGATGCCTGGCTGCCCGTCTGCTTGCCTTGTGTTGCATTGCTCCTTTCTCTCTTGTCTTGTGTTGCCTTGCTTCTTGCCCTCTTGTCTTCTGTAGCTGTATCCTTGCTCATTGCCCTCTCGCCTAGCTGCTGCCCTGCTGCCCTCTGTCTTGTTTGCCTTGCTATCCTGCTGCTTGTTTTTGCTGCTTGCCTGTCTGCTTGTGTTCCACGCCCTGCTGGCCGTCTGCCTACCTTCTTGCCTTCTCGATACCTGCTTGATTGCCTTGCTGCCTGCCCTGTTGCCTTCTTTGCTGCCCGCCTGCCTGGTTGCTTGACTGTTTGCTTGGCCGTTATCATCTTGTTACTGGACTTCCTGCCATTTTGGTCCCCACCTGCCTACCTACCTACCTGCCTACCTGCTTACCTGCCTACCTGCCTACCTGCCCTCGGCTTATACTGTTGCCTTCTTTGCCTTGCCCATTTGCTTCTCGTGTGCATTGCTACCTGCCTGCCCGTTTCCTTCTCCTGCTTAGCCTTGCTGCTTGCCACCTGGCTTGCTGTCCACTTGGCACAGGGACCAAGGTAGACTATGACTCAAGGCATCAACATAGGGATTCTGTTGACCGTCAAGGGTTGAGCCTTTTGGGGATGAAACCCCTCGTCACTCTTGAGATCTGTTTTCTGTATTGGGGTCTCAGATTATGACTATTTAAGTCTATTTTCTGTCTTGTTTGACGCAATGTTTCTAACGTGTGTTTCCTCAAGCTGTAGCGTTGCCTGTAAGTATAATGACTTTTTCGTTCCTCATTATGTAGGTGTTTGTTTGTATGAATGTGTGGTGTCCATGGGGCACTTGAATGAACGGTCTAATGACCCTGCGCGCAGCTCCGTCCAACCCTCCCTATGGAGGGTTAGGGGTGGGTCACACACACGCATGCGTTCTCAGTATGAGCTGTGCTCGGTAACTTTGGGGGGATAGGTGCAAATTGACTTCATCTGGGTGCAGGTTGGTCTTTTTACCATTCTTGTGCAAGCATGGAAACAATAATGTTGCAAAAATACCTCAAACAGAAGCAGCAGAAGCCAGCCTACCTACACCGTCAGGTCCTAAGTCAAGCAAGCTAACTTAGGCAGGGGTGAGGGGTGGTACATCCTTCCTTCTGGAAGTAATCAATGCCGTCCAGTCGGGCCTCCCAGCCATAATGGGGAGGAGCGTATGTGTATCCTTATTGTATTTATCATTGACTTGCCGGGGGAATAGGAACCGGACTGTTGCTCCCCAGAATGGTAGGAGTCAGAACCTTGAGGTTCTGAGTTTTGTTAAAAAAAAAAGGAATAAGAGTATTGTAGCCTTTCGTTGTCCTTCTTGTGCAAGTGTGCCCCTTTTCGGCAGATGGGGATGTGCGCACCTGGAGCTCACCCACACCGATATGCCAGGCCCTCCACTTATATATGCATTTACATGGAACGGCTGCTTTGCTATTGTATTCTATTCATCCGTTCTCATGGGAAGATTTGGTGACTCATGTTGGCGTGGCCAGCCTTGCACTCTTTACTGTTTCTTGTTTGTCGCAGGGCTGGGACGGCAACCGGCCCGTTCAGCTTGCCCGGTCGAACCGGAGCCGGACCAGCCCAGGGGGAGTGAACCGGGAAACCGGTTTTCAAAAAATAAAGCCTAATTCTTTTTCTTTTTTTTTTTTGGCGGATTCTGACTGCGCTCTTCAAGAGCTGTCGAAATCCGTAATGAAATTTTGAAGGTCCGTTTTTTTTGGGGGGGGTTGCCCCAGGGGGAGGTGGGGATATTATTGGGATATTCACGGAGGTGTCACTTTCAGGGGGAGGGGTCGAGTAAGCAAGGTTACTTATACGACCCCCCGTGGCCCAATAACTTCAATTCACTAGCAGAGGCCACTCTGGACTATGCCAACGGCCATCAGAATCCTGCAGCCTGAACGAGACGTGATAGGAGTGGATCCTTGCCAAAACTTGTAGTTTTTCCAGAGTATAGCTCGACGGCAGGGTGCAGGTGTCAGCTCGTGCAGGCAGAGCGTTTTCTGTTTTTTTTTTTTTACATACGCTGGGTCATCAGTGTCCTCAGTCCAAAAGCATCTCGCGTGCCAGTCTGTCCAGATACATGTAGTGGAGCCAGGTCCATTCTAGATAGATTGAGAGAAAAATATAGCTTAGGTCCATTCTTGGGCTTGCACCTCAGACAGAGCCGAAACCCAAACCCATAACTGTTCCCCAGAGCTTAGTGATGTTGCAGAAGCATATAACCTCAGGAGAGCCGTTGCTCAAGCATAGTAATTCCCTCGTGGCTGAGGATGGACGAGTATGTCATGCCAATGACGCCTGGTCCGTGGTCTGTTGGACCACACTGTGCCAAATCGAAATATGAGGCCTGGTGAGCCCCTAATTTTTGAGAAAACGCGCGCGGCGGTTGTTCGCAGCTGATCTGCAAAGATAAGCGGCGGAGATCCTCCGCTCGTTGTTTTCTAGAAGTGGGGCCCAAAAAGGCCCAATTTTGTTTTTGAAGGACGCTGCAGCCTCGTGGGGGCTGGGCAGTCGTGGGGATGTCTGTCACTGCCCGGTACCCCCGTCCAGCCTAATGCGCTGGATTCGACCGGGGGTCTGCCGGGCCGGTCGACCGGCCGGTCCGACCGGCAGGCTCCCGGGCGGTGGATGGGCCCCCGGTCCAACTGGGGACCAGCCCTGGTTTGTCGAGGATTTGGTGTTGATATTCGATGATTCTAAAAAAAAAACACATGCCATGCATTGGCAATTTGGCACGCAATCATATTTTCTATAATTTCCTTTCTTCCTCTCCATCATATTTTCTATAACTTCCTGTCTTCCTTTCGTTCTAACTATGTGCGCTCTTCACTTTTCCTTGTTTGTACTTTGTGGAGAATTTTGCCAGTTTTGCACACACACACACACACGTGCACACACACACACACACACACACACACACACACACACACACACACACACACACACACACACATGTGAACTCGTATTTCCCTTAACTGCTGTCTTCCTCTCCTTCTAAGTATTTTATTTTTATGCACACACACACACACTTCTGCTATAACGTGCAAGTGGGCCGTTAAGGCACACGAGGATGTGGGCAGCTGCCACTCACCCACAATCAACGTGGGCGGCCTTGTACTTGCGAGGCATAGTAAAAGAGGAGCTGTTGCCCCAACGTTATGATTCATGTTGCTTGCTAAAGAGGTGAAATTGTTTAATTGTTGGGTTGTCTCAACTCAAATCTACTCGTCTGATTGGAATAGGGGCTGGTGTGGAAATTTAAAACACACACACACACACACACACACACACACACACACACACACAACGTGGGCAGCCTTGCGCGTAAGAGGCACAGTAAAAGGGGAGCTGCAAGAACAATGAAAGGGTACCCCAAGAACAACCAAAAAACTGTCTAGTTATAAAATTGCTTTAATATGTTGGACATCTCAAATGCTCTCGTTGTTTGCAATAGGATAAAGACTGCTTTGATTCTGAATCTATTCACCTGGGTGGAATTGAGGCTGTTGTGGGGAAAATCTAAAACACACATGTGCACTCGTATTTCCCGTAACTGCTGTCTTCCTCTCCTTCTAAGTATTTTCTTTATGTCCTCACCTGAGTAGATGGACGAGAGGGGTCATGCGGGGTTGTATGCCTTCCATCCAAACGCATTGTGTGATCTGTGATATGTAACGCCCAGCTTGATGTGTTCATTCATTCATTCCTATTCAGCCTTATTTATGTTGTCTACTATGTGTGCACTCTGAGCTTTCCTGTCTTCTCCTGAGTGTCTACATGCAGCACCTTCAAGATGTGCTAAATAGTCAGTGCCCTTTGTCAGGAGTACCTGCAATGCTGTTTGGGGGTGTTCAGCAGTGATGAGAGACATTTGTCAAAGTGACTCCTGAACTCTGATGGTGGTGTGAACCTCCAGTCTATTGAGTTCCGCTTGCGGTGTGAGTAGGTGGTGATCCGCTTTGGTGCGGGCTGTATGTGTGGGATACCTTTTTGGTGCTGCAATGCTGCCTGGTCTGTCCATCCATTTGCCTTGTGTTCCTGTGCTGCTTGCCTGCTTTCCTTGCGTTGCATTGGTACCCGGGCTTGCTGCTTGCCTGCCATTTGCCTCCCTTTCCCTGTCACTCCCCTGCCCACCCTCTTGCTTGGTAGCCCTTGCCTTGTTGCCCGCTTTGCTGCCGCCTTGCCGTGGTGCTTGATTGTTCACCTGGCGGTTTTTTGTCGTGTTGGTTTGCTTCATGTCTTTTTGCCCGCTTGCAAACCCGCTGCTTTCTTGCTGCCTGGTGTGCCTTGCTGCTCATCTCCTTTGCGTCGGATCTCTACCGTGAGGAAAACCATGTCTTGGTGTGAAGCTTGGTCTCCGAGGATTTGCTATCACACAAATCCCAGACACAGACAAACAAAGAACAGACAGAACAGTGCAGAACAGAACAGAAACAAAAAGATAAGAAAACCTAAACAGAACGGACAGAAAACAGACAAACAAGCAAGCAAAGCAGGCAGAACAAGCAAACAGACTGTTAGACAGAGAAGGAGAGGGATATAAAGGTGTAGCAGGGCAATAGTGAGGGACACCATCACTACTACTACTGCAATTACTGCTACTACTGCTACCACTTTGACTGATTCCGCTGCTGTAGCGATTGGCAAATTGACACATTCTTGTTTTTTTCCTGTGTGTCTGTCTGTCTGTCTTTTTCTCTGCCTCCGTTTCACCCTCGTTATCTGTCTATTTCCTTCATTTCCCCCCTTTTCCCATTTGGTCTATCATGTTCGATTACGTTGTTGCAGGAAACAAGGGCTTGGACAATCCATGCAGGTCAGTATTTCCTGACCTTACGTTTACTCAGTAGTTGTAGTTCAAATGCTCATGCACACCTGAACGTGCACACACACGCACATTGTGCATGTTAAACAACTAGTACCTTTGCCGAGTGGGAAGATAGGGGGCCTCGGGTGGGCCTGAGGCCGAAACGAAACGACGGCCGCTGCTGAGATTTATCAATGGCAGCCAGCGTTGGGCCCGGCCTCCAATGTTTCAGGCGTTTGGGAAAACTGCCAGTTTTCGCTATTTTCCCAACACTGGTGGAGGTACTGGTGCTTTTAAGGAACCACTTTTCCAAGAGCTACCGTCTTCACCCGAATAGAACGCCCGGTCATTATAGCTGTATCTGGGCCGAATATTGCACCAAATGCAGCTATAATGACCGGGCGTTCTATTCGGGTGAAGACGGTAGCAAGGGTTTCCAGATCCTAATATACTCCCTCAGCATGGGGTTTCATGATGATAGTGATGAGCGATCACAACAAAATCGCCTAAGTAGTAAGCACCCTTGCTCAGGTGCGCATCATATACCGAACAGAAACTATCTGAAAACAAAGCAGGAGTTGAAAACAAAGCATCAGAATTTAAAAAATGTCCATTTCGAATTGGCTATGGGAAAGTTGGAGTTGTGCGTGTGTGTGTGTGTGTGGGGGGGGGGGGGGGGGGGGGGGTATATGATGGGCAGCCACATTTGATGGCACCTTAGTGAAAAGATGACTCGCCTGTCTCCCCGTAACTTCTTTTCTGACCAGTGCAGGAGAGGCATGCAAAATAGAACAGAAAACGTGCTGATGTGATGATGACAAAGAAGGAAAGTGATAGTGACACAACTTTGAGGAAAGTGCAGTGAGATGTTTTCCTTTTGAGACCTTGACACAAGTTATTTTTTCGCATGCTTGGGTGTTGAGGTTGTTTCTTCGGTTGAGGGCCTATTACGAACAGAAGAACATTGGCACTTAGAGCTGTCCGTCAGCAGATTCTAGCTTGCATTTGGTAAGGAAGTTTTCAGGTGACCCTTTTTTTTTTTTTTTTTTTTTTTTTTTTTTTTTTGAGATTACAGCGTTCCTCAACTGATGTTAATCCAAAAGACATTGGTCCTCATCAATGAAGGAAAGATGAACAGACAGCAACGTCAACAGACATACAAAGGGAGCAAGTAGAGATACGCAGACAAACACCATCTGGAAGGATGATGACAAAGAAGACACCAACCGAACAACATATCGCAGTTTCACAGTCCGAAGTGTTCACACTTAGACGTGCATGGCTTAGTCTTTGAGACAAGCATATTTTTCAGGTGACCCTTAAGCGTGAGCAGGGAGATAAAAGTTCATAACAACTGCTTTTACGCACTATTTGAGCAACAGCAGAAGGATTGCTTATGGACTGTCGGGTCCACCTTGAGTAACATGAAAAGCAAAAGAAGAAGAAGAAGAAGATGATGATAATGATGATGATGATGATGACGATGATGATGATGATGATGATGATGGACATGGGCTTGCATTGGGCGATATCTGCACATCACTGACACTGTGAAAGAATTGGGCATGCATCATGGGTTTTGTGGTTCTCCTGGATGAGTCTGATTGTGCTATTTTATATTGGTTTATTTGGTGATCACATGTTATTATCGCCGCAATTGGATCAGGAATGACAGCACCACAGGCTGCAGGTGTCATCCATTCAGACTTTGAGAGAGGCTTCATCCGCGCAGAAACGGTGAGCAATTGTGCTACTGTGAAAATCAGCCGTACACATTTTCAATGAAGACTGGAAGTCATTGTGAGCAAGTGGTAGTTAACCCAGCCCATGTGGCTGAATGGTACAAATGTGAAACTGTTGATGAACAGATCGTGGGTTTTGCAATCAGACTCGTTCTCACTCACACTTTCATGCATGTAAACAGCAGCGCAGCAAACTGGCGACATGCGCCCACTCAAAACTCAGAGATATGGCATCCAGATACGAGTTCACTTTCAACTGGCTATGGCGACTCAGCGCCCAAACAACTCACTGTTCACATACACCGGATCACCCTGGATATCCCACACGCGTCACTCTGAACACTCACACATACACACACACACTTCACACTAAACTACAGCTATGGCAGCTATGGCTGCCACTACTCTATCGCTATGCTACGCTCCTTCTCTCTCGCCCACTTCAGCTCCGGGCTCTCCGCAGACCTCCTTGCACAAGTCGCTGTGGCAGCGCTTCCGCATGGCTCACGCAGGAATGAATGAATGGCTGGGCGCTGCCTCTTGATTTATACTTCGGAAACTCGTTGGTCTGCCCTTTGCTATCGGCCCATGGTGCTCACAGTCCCCCGTGGTACTTGCTGGACCGGACTGGGACTGACTGGACCTTACCGTTGACTGACTGTGGACTCACTGCTAATCTACCGTAGTCGTACTGCAATTGCACTGCAGTTTAGTCCACCACTTGACTCGCCACTTGCCCACTTGCCGACCTTCTAGAAGGACTACAGCTAGACTTCTGGAACTCGCTAAGACTTCTACTCTATAGACCTACAGATCGAACCCCTGCTACCTATGGACCTATGACAGACCTACCAACTGTCTACGAATATACAGGTCACAGGTTCAACTCTCGGGGTCTACACCGGTACTGTACATGGGTAGGGCGAGGTCTAGGGATCGAACCCTGGGTACTGCATCTGCTACTTCTAAAAGGTGAAAACCGTTTCAGTTTGATGCCTGACAGGACAAAAAAAAACAGATACACTGTTGTCAAGGGCTACCCCCTTAAGAAGAAAGAAACGAACAGAAAGAAACGGACAGGTATAGTTTAGGATGACAGGTTTACTCAATTAACTGGTCCGATTGAACGCAAGACGCCAACTCACCCGGCGACCAACGGGAAGCAGATCACAGAGAGAGAAAGATCGCATGGACCGATTCCGTCATGTTCAGACTCTTCAGAGTGTTTGAGATCGACCGCCCTGCAATGAGCAAGTGAGGAAAACAATCGAAGGAGATATGATAAAACAGTTAAAACTGCAATGCAAGGACATGGTGTCACTGTCAAAAATAACAGCCTGAGTTGACTGTACAGCCTTAAACTACCAGGTCCACCACGACCGTTTACGGCCTCCCTGTGTGGAGAGGTTGGTCCTATTTTACGTGAGATAGTGTTGATTTGAGCACATAGCTCCAACCCACTACCAACCTGAGAGTGCAATGCAGAAGTAAACCGACAACATCCGAAAGGACTCCTGTCACCTACGGCCAGAATCTGGGTGGCGATATGGGGGTTGGGGGGGGGAGGGGGGGGAGGGGGGGAAGGGGTATGCAAATGTTGGTGGGTTATTGGGGGTTCTGGACCAGTGGACCCAATTTATTTTTTTTTTTCCCTTTTCTCTTTTTGGCGGGGTGCTGACCGACCACGGACCGGTAGGTGCCGACCAGCGGAACGGTTGGCTAGTCGGCGCCCGACCAATCTAGGGGCGCCGACCGTTTTTTTGTGTTTTTTTTTAAAAAAAGGGCAGCAGTCGACCGTCCGAGTGACTATTCTCATCCCAAAACATTTTTTTGGAAGGGGCACCCAACCACCAATCGAGGCTTGTGACCCCCTTACTTTCCCTGGGGGCCAATTTTCCCCGTGCGCCGGTGCACTCGTGCACCCGATGTGCGGAATTGCCCACACGGCATGCGCTTGCTGCAAGTATGACATGAATAGAATGAAATAACTCTGAGTTAATTGAGTACTGTCACTTCAATGATGATATCTCAAACCCATCACCCTTCCTGTTTTCTTCTTCTTTCTTTAAAGGTGCGCCTGGACAAGGCATTGCAGTTGTTTGGGATGATACTGTGACAGTTATGATCATTGATAAGGTAGAAGGAATGCTCAGAAAGTGCATGTGCTGAAGGGACACTTCACACAATGAATGTTCTTGTTGCTTACTTTGTAAGTTTATTAACTTCAAGTGCATATTTGTATGTCCCCACTACATCTGTACAGGTTGCATATGATGACTTCATTCAGGCAGGCTCGCTTAACGTGGCGAAAGAGAAAGGCCTGGTATTTCCCCTTCCTTTCAGCTTGTGGATTAAAAAATATCAATTGCATACAAACGATGGAATACGCTTGCTTGAGTTTGTATTACTTTGTAAGGTTTACTGACAACTCATATATGTAGCGTTCGCGGTATGATCGCATCGCTCCAAATCTTCTTTTTTTTATTTTTTATAATGAAATTAGTTCAAATTACACGTTTTATTATAACGGCTGGTAACCGGTCCAGTGCCCCTCACATCAGTGATGGTACTCACGCAGCGCTGCTCCCTGTTATGGCAGGGAGACCCTGAAACAGCGGGCATTGATTGCTCTCTCTTCAGCAACCGTTGCAAATCGTAGTCTGAGAAGTCTGCTGCAATTTTGACTAGAAATTCTGTGTTTAAACTTTTAAACTGTTTTAAACTGGTTTTGCAATTTGCCAACTTGGCCTGTGTTTTTTTTTTTTTGTCTGAAAATAGTCAAAGTTTTTCTGAATACTGGTGTGTCTGTGCTGTGCAGAAGCCCTTGTATGTTATTCCTGACGTCTCGGAGGTTGTTATGTATGATGTATGTTACGATGTTTAGATAATAGCCTTGCGTGCCATATTTCTAATCTGAGCCTGAAAGGAGGACTCACCTGCCAATCAGGAAACGTGCGAGGGCAGGAGTGAAACTTAGAGTTAGAAGGACAGAAAGGTAAAGAGGCTTGCACGGGTAGATTTGAGATTTGGACGGCCAACAACACAAAGGGAAGAGTTGGTGGTTCGATAGTGATTTTCCACAAAATGTCCTTGAGTGGGCCCTGTAGTCCCGTAGGATTAATGGCACAGCAGACCTGGGCACCAGACCGTACACAGACTAGATTTTTTGTTGGTGCGCAGGGTGGATACCAGGCTCAGCTATGAGCCATCATTTCGCACCCCAAAGCCGACCCTGCACACCGACAAAAATCTAGTCCGGGTACTGTCTGGTGGATTAATCCTACCGTACGCAGGGTGGATACCAGGATGAGCTACACGCTATCCTTTCGCACCCAAACGCCGACCCTACACCCAATGACACCCCCCTGTAGGATTAATGCACTTTTTCTGGCAAGGTTTGCAGAGGTTGGACAGGTCCTGAGTCCGGGTACTGGGTGCAGGGTCGGCTTTTGGGTGCGAAATGACGGCGTGTAGCTGAGCCTGGTATCCACCCTGGTGAAGTTGCAGGCCTAACCAGAGCAATTAATGCACTTTGTCTGTGACTTAGGACCTGCCCAACCTCTGCCTGCAAACCTTACCAGAAAAAAGTGAATTAATCCTAAGTAAGAGACGAAGTGCATTACAGACTGAGCTGTAAGTGGTCATTTTCCTAGCCAATAGCATGTCCACTTGTGTCAAGTGGGTTTTTAAACTTTTTTTGCACAAGGCGCTGCAAGTCCGAAGTGTGGCTGGGTAGGTAGAGATATGGGAAGCCAGCCGCACTACCTTGCCGATCCAGAACTGTAAAAGAGAGTGCAGCAGTTGGGTTAAAGCACTTTGCTGCTGGAAGAGGCGAACATTATGACGCTCCACCGGTTTGTTGCCAGGCCGTGGAGGAAGAAGGAATGCCTTGGATGGACTTCCAGGTCGAGACGGAGCTTGTGAGCTATGGTGGCTTTGGCTGAGCAGCATCTTCTTCAGGAAGGACCCCTCACAGTAAGAAGCTACTGGGTTCATAGATGGACTGCATCTTCCGTCATCCTTGAGTGACGCTTTGCCTAGGAAGGCTGTGCAGGCCCGAGGAAGGCACGGTCGTCATCTGTGTGTATGGCGGCTTAAGTGATGGAGGTGCTATCTCTTGCATTGTTCTCTGCACATGAAAGCAGGAGAGGCTGGCAGTCCAAATAGAGATGGTGTTCGAGAAAAGGAGAAGGGTTACACGAAGGGCAGGCAGGCAAGGGGCTAGGCAGAATCGAGATCATTTGCTGACTGGGTACAGAAAATTTGTACGTAGACTTGTTGATGTACAACTTACCCTGTGGTGATGTGTGGCTGTGGCTGGCTGTGTGTGGCTTATGTGTGTGTGTCTGTGTGTGTGACACTCTGTGTGTGTGCGTCTGTGTTTGTGTCTGTGTGTGTGACACTCTGTGTGTGTGTGTGTGTGTGTGTGTGTGTGTGTGTGTGTGCTGTCTCTTATACACATCTAGATGTGTATAAGAGACAGGTTGTGTACCGTGGGGTGGACGAGGGGGATGCATTTCTGTCGGCATCGTTGTGCAGTTACGATCAGAAGGCAAGGACTATGTTGTACAAGAAGGCGATGTTTTGCTTTTTCGGTTTAACGTGTGAGACTCTGCAATGTCTGGAGAGAAGCTGGCTTTGAGTCAATCTGTCATGCGTGCGCTCTTTTCCCTCACTTCATGACTATTTAGTATTTATCCTCTCTTCGACTGCCTGCCTTGTGAACCATCAAATGCCCAGGGAGAGAACACATAGTAATTGGTATAGCAGCTAGCAATGCCTAGCATACACCAATTCATGTAACGTAGTGTCTATGCGTATACTGGTCAAGCAGGCTTTCTTTTCTCCACTCGCCTGTCAATCACCGTCATGATCTTACTGTTTCCACAGAGGTCGATCGTGCACTATGTCTGCTCCGACAGCAGCACACCTCATGATCAACCTGAAGAGAGTATTCTCCCTCCTTTCCCCACCCCTCCTTCCCCTCTTCTTTTTGATAAGGCCAGCCCTCTCAGCCCCTTCTGCCTGTGAGTTGATCTCAAGGGAGGTTGTCCAGGATGAGATAAGCAGCAGAGAGCGGCCTTCAAGTTGTTCTTTTGGCTCAGTTTCTCGAGCTCGGTTTGAGCGTCAGCTCTCTCTTTCGCATCTTGCCTTGTCTGACTCTTCTGCATGCGACGTGTCAACGGTGTTATTCATTTTTGAAATTTTGAGCTATAAACGTCCCTTGGGGATGTATGCTGGTTCCAAATCAAGTCAAGAGATTGGATTGCAAGTTATGGTGGCACATGTCTCTCTCAACATTGTATCACACATCTCTCTCAACATTGTGCCACACACGTCTATCAATATGCCACCACAGGTTCAGAAAATTAGGATTATAGGTCAGGAGCTCACGAGTCCCTTGCTTACACTCGTGAATGCAGTACTTTTTCTACTGGCCTACTGAGGGCCTCATGGCTAATAGCAGGGCAACCTCCATTAGGTGTCATATGTTTGCTCTGGTGCTGGACAAGTCATATGTGTTAAACGGAACTTAAACCACTATCACCTGCAAACATAGGCTACCGAGCCTAGCCTGTGGCCAATACTGGGGCCGGAGGGCTGTTGGGGGGCGGAGGGGGGAGGGGGGAGGGAGGGAAGGGGCGAAATGGGCGAAATGGGCATTCTACGGACCTGCACCTGCGCTGTCGCCGAACGTGTGCGAAACGTGGACATTTCCAAGCCAGAGTGCTGA